CGTCGGCGTCGGCCGTCGTGGGTCATCGGCGTCGGTCATCGGCGTGGGTCGTCGGCGGCGGCGTCGGCGCGTCGGCGCCTGTCGTCGGCGCCCTGCGGCGTCGGCGCCCGGCGGCGTCGGCGTCGGCGGCGTCGGCGCCCGCCGCCAGCGCCCGGGGGGGGGGGGGCGGCGCTGGAGCCGCCCAGGAGCCCCAGCTCCAGCACCTGGGCTCGCCCGTTGGCTTCGCGGCCCGCGCCCGCTTCCGCCCGCGCCGCCGCCTTCTGCCGCCCAGCCGCCGACGAACGACACGCGACGGACGACGGGCGCGCGACGGCGACGGCCGCCGCCGTCGGTCGTCGTCTATCGTCGGTCGTCGTCGTCCGTCGCCCGTCGCCGTCGGTTATCGCCCACATCGTCGTCGGTGTCGTCGGTCGTCCATCCCTTGTGGTCCGTCGCCGTCGTCGTCGGTCGTCGTCGCTATTGGTAGTCGTCGGTCGTCGTCGTCGTCGTCGTCGCCGTCGTCGTCGCCGCCGTCGTCGCCGTCGTCGCCGCCGTCGTCGCAGGGAACACGACGGTAGTTTTTCCCATGCCCTCCGCCCTCGGGGCCGCTGCTGGGCCCTGAGCCCAGTCGAAGAAGCGGCCCGTTCGACGAAAGCCCCAGCCTGGGCCAGGGAAGGGCCCGAAAGAGAGCTCCGAGGGCCTCCTCTCCAACATGCAGAGGGGAGGGTCTCAGGGGGGACACGGGCCCAAGGCCCCGGGGCTTTTTCCCCGGCAGGGCCGGCTCTCCGCCTTGCAAACCGGTTTCGGACAGTCCCGGGGCCCGTGCAGGTGCAGGGTCTCGTCTTCCTCCTCCTCCTCCTCCTCCTCCTCCTCCTCCTCCTCGTCCTCCTCCTCCTCCTCCTCCTCCTCCTCCTCCTCCTCCTCCTCCTCTTGCTCCTACTCCTCCTCCTCTTCCTCCTCCTCCTCATCATCATCCTCCTCCTCGGTCTCCTCCTCCTCGGTCTCGGCCTCCGCCTCCGCCGCCAGCCCGCAGCCGGCTAGAAGATTCCAGGACCCCGTCTCTCCAGGGCCCGCTTGCACGCTTATCCGAGGGCCTCTGCCAAGGTTGCCTGCATTGGTCCTGGCCCAAAGTGCCCCCCAAACTTTTCGATGCATGGTGGACCCCCGCTGGTGCCTCGTTAGGGGTGCTCTGGAGGCCGCGCTGGCCTCCCTGGTAAAGCTGTGGCCACTCTGGGCAAGGGCCTCCTGTGGCAAGTCCCGACCCTACCTCCTTTCCTCCTTTTTTCGTCCACTCCTACAGTCGGACCGAGGTATAAGATCGAAGTCGGTTCTGGGAGGGTACCCTCATGTTCTTCGTGTGTGTTGGATGTTCTCGTGGATCCTGGGGGAGGCTACCCTCGAACGATCTTGGGGGTTGTGGTGTTTTGGCCGGAGGAGGGTCTCGTGCTACTGAAGAATGTTATTATGTCATAGGTCCGACTACACTCACTGGGGTGACCTCGGGTGCTCACACATCGTTCCTACGATGGCTGAATGTGATGCGAAAGCAGCGGCCTACGCTCAGGAGAGGAAAAAACACAGACACAATTAATCCTCGATTCCCCAGAAAACATGGGAAAATATGGGAAGTGGGGGGGAAGACAGAAACCCAGAAAATATGGGAAAATATAGGGAATCTGTTTATTTGTGTGTATTTATTTGTGTGTCCTGGGGCCCCTTCATACGCACAGGAGTTTGCCCCTCCCGCTCGCCCCTGAGGCCGCGCGCGCCAGAGTCTGAGAGGCTACTCTTGCCTAGTGCCCAGTGCCACTCCTTGCGTGTAAACCGACTCCCGTCCTCCGTCGCGGATGCCATTGTGCCGAAGATTCTGCGTGGCGTCCGCAGAAGGCGTCCATACGCAACCAAGGTGTTTGGACAGGGCCACCTTGGGACGCATGATACATATATAGATAGATAGATAGATAGATAGATAGATAGATAGATAGATAGATATATAGATAGACAGACATATATATAGATATATAGATAGATATATAGATATTTATATATATAGATCGATAGATAGATAGGTATGTAGATAGATAAATAGATAGACATATATATGTATATAGATAGGCATATATATATATACAGATATAGATATATATATAGATATATCTATAGAGATATAGATAGATAGATATATATATATATATAGATATATGGATATACAGATATATATATAGATAGATAGATAGATAGATAGATAGATATATACATATATATATATATATATGTAGATAGATAGATAGATAGACCGTCCGAGCCTCGGCCAGGATATCGTATATACCTTGCCAGCGCCCACGATGGCCTTGGCCAGGCACGGTGGTGGTGGTGGTGGCGATACACCCGGACATACGATGCCCGACATCCAGAATACGATGCCCGATGTCCCCCGAAGTCCCCATCCCGTGGGACAGCTTCTCATCCCGAGTCGTTTTTTGTATAGTCCTGGGGCCCGGCGAGGGCCCGCAGAGGCTGAAACACGGCTTGAGGCCTCCCGCCATGATTTTTTGTTACGACGCGAGGGGGGTTGGGAGCGAGGATCGAGGAGGAGGAGGAAGAGGAGTAGAAGGAGGAGGAGGAGGAGACAGTGAGGAGCAGGAGGAGGCGAGGGAGGAGCAGGAGGAGGAGGAGGAGACAGTGAGGAGGAGGAGGAGGAGGAGGAGGAGGAGGCGGAGGAGGCGGAGGAGAAAGAAGAAGGATGAGGATCACATAAAGAAAAAACAAAAACATACACATAAGTGTAACAGCGTAAGTCGAGCTTTCTCGTGGACGTTTCAAGTCCCATGCTCTGCCTTCTTCCGTACGGGGGGGAGCCAAGGCGCGTGTCACATCCGTGCGACTGCGCGCGGTTGTCTTCTCTAGTAGGGGCGTCGTCGTGGTTCGGACATCGCTGCCCTTCGCAGCGAATTGAATTCGAGACGTTTCGCGTAACCCCACCAGCTCCCAGGCATCTGAGGTGCCGCCTAGGCTCTGTCTGCCGGCGCGTTTGGCAATTAGGTTCGCGCGCGGCCCGCCCGTTCCGTTATTCGCCGCCTGCGCTTTCGTTTGCGGTTGCGACAAAAAGTAACCCCACCAGCCCATCCAGGAACGATGCCCAGAGAGTTGCCTCGATCAGGGAAGTGGGCAGCACGCAGAGGAAGGGTCCCCCAGTGGACGCCTCTTGGAGCGTGTTGGGGGCCCCTCAGCGGCCGTGACGCCCCTTAAGAGCGTCTTGGGTGCCTCGGGGCCCACTTGGCGACCAGGCGGGCGGGGCTCGGGGGCAGCCTGCCCAGGGCCCGTGGAGAAGAAAGGCAGGTAGCCGAAGGATGACGCCAAGAGGAAGAAAAGGGATCGCATTCCCGCGGAAAAGCATGCACAGACGGGGAAGCAGTTGCCACGCGAACCAGTTCTGCCAGCGTGACGCGGCTAAACACCACGAAAACGACGACGTGGGCGCGCTGCTGCAGGCCGTGGAGGCGTGAGTTCGGGCCGCCTGGGGGCGGCGTCGGGCCTTGTGGCGGGGATCCGCTGGGGGCCCTGGGGAGGGGGAAAAAACACGTCTTGGAGGCCTCTTGGGCGCCTGTTGGGGCCTCCCTCTTGGGCCATCTTGGGGCCATCTTGTGGCCTCGGCGAGAAAGCCAAACACATGGATTGTCCTGAGGTGCTGGAAGGCATTTGGCTTCTTCGGGGCCTCCTGGGGGAGCTCTCTGGCCACTTGGAACCGTCTTGGAGCGGTCTTGGGGCCTGTTGGAGCATCGCGGGAGAGCCATATTGAGGCATCTTGGGGTATCTTGAGCCATCTTGGAGGTCATCTTAGGCTCCCCCAGGCGCTCTTGGAGTCATCTGAAGCAGTGCCCCCCCAGGAGGCCAAACTGTGGCCAAAACCTTGGTGACATCAATGAGTTTGGCATTGTCGCCGAGGCCTCTTGGAGCGTCTTGGGTGCCCCTCGGGGGCCGCTTGGGGGTCTCGAGAGCCTCTTGGGGGCATCCTGGGGGCTTCTTGGGGGCCTCTTGGGGTCTCCTGGCCACTTCCCGGGGCCCACTTGGAGCACGCCTTGAGGGCGATCGTGGGCCATCTCGGAGGAGATCGATCAAAGAAGGGGGGATCCTTAATTAGCGCCGCCCCCCCCCCCAAGAGGCCCAAACGGGGCCAAAGCCGCAGCACAACCAATGATTTTGGTTTCCTCGCCGAACTCCGAAACCCCGCGCCCTCACCCCCCGTCCAAGTCCAGGGGAGGGGGTGGGGGGAGGGGTCAAGACCCTTTCCCCGCCCGCAAGCCGTCTCGCTCACTCCCACACGCCCTCCCAATACATACGTAGCACCCGAGTCTGGCCCGAGCCTCAGCATATTCAGCAGTCGTCTTTGGATGGGCAGCTACTTGGGGCCAATCCTCCGCCGCAGCCGCCGCCGCCGCCGCCGCCGCCCGCCGCCGCCGCCCGCCGCCGCCGCTGCCAAATCGCCGCCGCCGCCGCCGCCGCCGCCGCCCGCTGCCAAACCGCCGCCGCCGCCGTTGCCGCCCGCCACCGCCACCGCCGCCGCCGCCGCCCCCACTCCCCGCCGCAGCCGCCGCCGCCCCCGCCCCCGCAGCCGCCCCCCCCCCCGCCGCCGCAGCCGCCGCACCGCCGCCGCCGCCGCTGCAGCCGCCGCCGCCGCCGCCAAGTGTATTCTGTATGTTTTTTGACAGGGATGGCGGGGGGGGGGGGGGGGCGCATCGGGTTGGCTGCGCATGTTCCGAATTTGGAGGCAGAGTGTGTTTTGTAGTGTGTTTTACAAGGGATGGTGGGGGGGGTCATGGACCCTGGTTGGTCCCCAGTCGCCTGGGGGAGGGGGTGTTTATTAATAGGGAACAGTGATAAACCCTTCCCCGAAAGGGGGAAAAAAGGGGGGGGAAGAAGAGCCGCCCTAAACCACCTACGCCGAGAGGGCGGGCGGGGCTACGCCCACGGACCAAGTTTGGGAGGTACGGCGCGCATCCAGGAACGGGCCGCAACCCCGATAAAGCGAACGCCTGAAGCTTTGTTGCAGACCGTTTTTTGTTGTTTAATATATATATATATTATATATATATATATATATATATATATATATATATATATATATATATAAATGATTGAACAGATTGAACAGATTGAACAGGGAAGAGGCAATTTCCAAATTGAACCGGGAAGATGGGGCTTTGAGACACGCAGGAGGAAGAGGGAGGGCCCAGGGAAGGGGGCTGGAGGGGATGTCCCATTCGGTTGGACGGACCCCGCTTGGCCAAACGCAGTGCTGTTCAGGCTGCTCTGCCAAACGACTCGGGCGCGAGGCGGGCGCCCCAGGCGGCCCTGAAGGTCTCTTCAGTTATCGGGGGAATCCGCTTCCAAAAAACGTATGCTGCGTTTCCGCGTGATTCCTTCGACTTCGCACGGCTCAAAGTTTCCAAGCTGTCGCGCTACACAAACTTGACAGGGCGGGGGAATAGGTATGCTAGGCTCTGTTGTGTTAGTTTCGCACTGTTTGCGCAACGTGGACGTTTGGCTGCCCGGTTTCGGGGAACCTGTGTTTTCATTCAAAATGGAAGAGCCCATTTTGCCCATGGCCAGTGCCAGCCCAATTCGATGGGACGCAGGGGTACGCGTCTTCCACGGCAGGACTGCCCCACCGACCCGTGGAATACCGCCGCGCTGAGGAGGGGATTTTGGCAAGCGAAAAGAAGTTGGCCTTCGCATGCGATTTGAGAGGCTGGTCGGGTAAGTGCCCGTACAAGGGTTGCGAGCACGGGGGCTCCTAAAGCTTCGTGCCCATATTCCTTTTCCTCCCCACCATCATGTGTTTTTCTTCCTTCTCCTCCTCCCTTCCATCATTCTCAATCGTTGCGCTCCACTTTTCCCATCGACTTCGTCTCCTCCCTCCTGTGCCACTTCTTTTTTGCCAGTTGGCTGTCGCCCGCTCTTGGCCTTGTCAGCGTTTTTCCAGGAATCGGCGCGCGCGCTTTCCGATCTGCTCTCGCGCCGCGTTCGAGCGTTTCCCACGTGCGGGTTTTTGGACAGCAGCGGTGCGCTCGCGCCAAATTGCCCGCGACTGGTATTTGCCCTGGTTATGTGTGTTTCATATGTGTTTTATTTGTTTCTAAAGTAGGAGGCGGAGGAGGGCGAGGAGGTGGAAAAGGAGGTGGATGATGATGAGGAGGAAGAGGAACAGCAGGAAGAGGAGGAGGAGGAGGAGGAAGAGAGGGGTGGCGAGGGGGAAGGGGAGGGGGGCGGGGGGAGGGGGGGGGAGGGGGGGAGGGGGGGGGGGGGGGGGGGACAAGCTACGTGCGCTCGCGTCATATCTGACATCCTACCCCTCCCTCCCAGATCCCTTCTCTACTCGCACAGTCGGATGTCGAGCAGGGCAATGATCCCGAAAGAGTACGCGATGCATTGCAGAGCACGGCGTGGCATGGCGCAGAAAAGCACCGCAAAGCGCAGTATCAACTCATCACTGCATTGCATGCCGTGGCATGGCACGGGAAATGACGCCAGCGCTGCAGTGGGAGCACGAGTCGAAACGAGCGGAAGCGCGGAAATGAGGCCAGCGCTGCAGCGGGAGCACGATTCGGAACGAGCGGAAACACGGAAATGAGGCCAGCGCTGCAGCGGGAGCACCATTCGGAATGAGCGGGGCACGAACATGAGGCGGGCGCCTCAGCGAGAGCAGCATTTTGAAAAACATGCAGGCACAAATCTAACTCCAGGGAAACCTGTGCGTAAATTATCCCAGCGCGACCCTACCTAGGAGTTGGAGCCCCTAGGAAAGCAACATTAGTAATAACAGTAAAGCTAAGCTAAAGCTAAGTTAACGCTAAGCTGAAGCTAAGCTAAAGCTAAGCTAAAGCTAGGCGAAAGCTCAGCTAAATCTAAGCTAAAGTGAAGCCAGCGCTAAGCTAAAGCTAAGCTGAAGCTAAGCTAAGGCTAAGCTAAAGCTAAGCTAAAGTGAAGCTAGCGCTAAGCTAAAGCTAAGCTAAAGCTAAGCAAACACTACGTTAAAGCTATGAGTAAGCTAAAGCTAAGCTAAAGCTAAACTAAAGCTAAGCTAAAGCTAAGCTAAAGCTAAGCTAACGCCACGCTAAAACCAAACTAAATCCAAGCTAAAGCTAAGCTAAATCCAAGATAAAGCTAAGGCGCAGCTAAACGAAAGCTAAGCGAAAGCTAAGCTAAAGCTAAGCTAAAGCTAAAGCTAAGCTAAAGCTAAGCTAAAGCTAAGCTAAAGCTAAGCTAAAGCTAAGCTAAAGCTAAGCTAAGCTAAAGCTAAGCTAAATCTAAGAATGGAGCTAAAGCTCCCAGGGAACTGGGGGAACCGCGGGGCGGATGCTGGGGGAACCGCCCGGGGCGAGTTGCACTGCCCGGCCTTTTAAGCATACCGAGTAAGAACCCTTCCAGGCAGAGCCTAGGTAGGGAAAAACAGTACGCGGGGGGGGGTCGGACACCTTCAAACCGTCATCATGGGAAGGGGGAGAGTAGTATTCAAAGTGAGTAATTGCGGAGGAGGAAGAGGAGGAGGAGGAGGAGGAGGAGGAGGAGGAGGAGGAGGAGGAAGAGGAGGGGGAGGAAGACCAGACCAGGAGGAGGAGGAGGAGGAGGAGGAAGAGGACGAGGACGAGGACGAGGACGAGAAGGAGGAGGAGGAGGAGGAGGAGGAGGATGAAAAGGACGAAGACGAGGACGAGGAGGAGGAGGAGGAGGACGACGAAAATGACGAGGAGGACGAGGAGGACGAGGTGGACGAGGAGGACGAGGAGGAGGAGGAGGAGGAGGAGGAAGACGAGGATAACGAGGAGGATCACGAGGAGGATAACGAGGAGGGTAACGAGGATGGGTCCGCTCCTCGCTGGCCCGGCCCGCCGCGGAGGGGAAGAACGGCCAGCCCGCCGAGTCGTTGGGGTCGCCGGCGGCTCTGGCGTCCCTCGGGCTGCAGGCGGCCGCGCGCCGTCCCCGCCCGTCGTCGTCCGTCGTCGCGGCAGCTCGTCGTCGTGGCCCGTCGTCGTCGTCGTCGTGGCCTGTCGTCGTGGCCTGTCGTGGCCTGTCGTCGTCCGTCGTCCGTCGTGGTGGCCTGTCGTCGTCGTCGTCGTCGTCGTCGTGGCACGACCGCCCGTCGTCGCCGCCCGTCGTCGCCCTCGTCCTCCGCGCCCTCCGCTCTGGGGGGTCTATAGGTTTTTCCTAGATGGGGTCCGAGTGGATGGGGTCGGAGGGTCGCGCCGCATCGTCGATGCGTCGACGATGCGGCTCCGACTTCGCCGGCGCATCGCCGACTTCGCTGGTGCACTGCCGATGCATCGCCGTTGCATCGCCGATGCATCGGCGATGCGGCGCCATCCTCTGACCCCACCTATTCGGACCCCATCTAGGCGGCCTCTGCCGTCGTCGTCCTCGTTCTCCGCGTCCTCCGTTGGGGGAGAGGGTGCCGAAGCGCGCCAAAGTGCCCAGCAGGGAACGAGGGTGCAAGCCCAGCTTGTCTGGCGGATGCTGAGAGGAGGCAGGCTGCGACGCGCGCGCCTCGGGACGCATGGGGGCCCGATATCCCACTCCGCCCAGGAACGTCGGGGGCCTTGCGCCGCTTCATCGGCGACGTGTCGCCGATTCCAGGTCCATGCTCCCCCCCCCCCCCCCGGCCAATCCCCCCTGGCGTTTCCCCCCTCGCATCTCTCGGATGTTGCTAAAAGTGTCCCTTGCCCGAGGTGCCCCCAGCTTCTCGCTCCAGTTTGAAGCCCCTGGGGCCCTCTGGGCCTCGTGAGGGGTGCCCTGGCGGCCGTCTGGGCCACCCCGAAAATCCTGGGGGCACCTTGGGCCAGGGGTACTTCTAGCAACACCCGAATCTCCTCTTCCCGGACGTACAGCAATGCTGTGCGGGCGCTCCGTCTTCCTTGTCGTCCTGTGCGTCTTCAAGGTCGGGGGGGCGGCGCATGCTCGATATATAGATGTTGTTTCGCAAGCGTTCCGAATCCGAATCCCAGACGTACAGCGTTTGCTGGGCCCCAGGGGTGTCAAACAACGACTCGGGATGGAAAACCAACCCTGGGGAAAGGGACGGGTTTTGCGGGGACCCCGTATTGGAAACAGCGGCAAGCATCGGATATATGGTGGCGGCGGTGGAGCGTGAAGGACACGAACCCTGCTACAGTAATCGAAGCAACAACAACTGTATAAACATACACCTTGTAGCTCGGCGCGGTTTTCTTGGATCGGCGCTGCACTGCTTCCCTTCTGTCGCGCGACGTCCCTGATGAGTGGCGGGATGTCCGTGCAGCGTGCGCGTGGTCTCGAGGGAGTTCCCGGAGAGGCGTCGAACATGGTGTTGGCGAGGCTTGTGACATGTGAAGTGGGAATGGCGCGAGCCATGATGGTCGAAGAGCAAGACACTCGGGATCCCGCAAAGGGGGGTTTGCCCCGAGGCTGGGTGTGAGTTCGAGTCTTGCGCCGCCCAAAACAGATGCCCCCCAGCCGCCGACAGCTCCCGATAGCTGCCGACAGGTGGGGCATGCGGGGGGCATCTGTTTGCGGCAGCTCGGTGCACCAGCGGATCGAACCCATGCCTCATGCCCCCCCCTCAGGGTCCTCCTCCTTCTTGTGGATCCCGAGGCACTGCAGAAACATAAACACGTTGGGATGTCCGCGCGGACGTCCCGCATCGGCGCCAGCTCCCCGGGCGGCGCTTCTGGCGCCACCTCTGGCGCTCTCCGCGCGTCAGGGGGGGGGGGGCCCAGCGCCCGTCCGAGAGGCTCCTCCTCCTCCTCCTCCTCCTCCTCCTCCTCCTCCTCCTCCTCCTCTCCTCCTCCTCGTCCAAGAGGCCCGCGCGGAGCTCCGAAAGTTTCTGGTTACGTCGCTGTTGTTCCTCCAGCAAGATTGGTTCCGCCGCTATAGGGGCGCGGGTCCCAGGGCGGCCGGCAGGAGGAGGAGGAGGAGGGGGAGGAGGACGAGGAGGAGGAGGAGGAGGAGGAGGAGGGGGGAGGAGGAGGAGGAGGAGGAGGAGGAGGAGGGAGGAGGAGGAGGAGGAGGAGGAGGAGGAGGAGGGGGAGGAGGAGGAGGAGATCGGGGAGCGTCCCGGCCACCCAGACACAAGCGCCCCCGATGGCGGAAGAGCAGATGTGGTACCGCTCATCGTCCGCTGACGCTTTCCTCTCTCCAGCCCCTCCTCCGGGGTGTAGATCGGCGGAGGGCCTGGGGGGAAGTAAGAAGGCCTTCTCAGAGGGCTCGGAAGCCCCCCAGCTTTTGAGAAGTTCTCTAAGCCTTCCCCGAAGCTACAACAAACCTCTCAGAAGGCCGGAGGACTTCTGAGAAGCCCCGCCGCCTTTGAGAAGGCCGCCTCCTTTTCATTTACCCCATTCGCCCGCCGCCTAGTGGAGATGCCCCTTACCCTGGTTTACGAGGCGCTGTGCGCTGAACCTCCTGCGGGCCAACCGTACAAGCCCTGCGCCTCGCGCGTTTCGCGCGGCGTCCTGGCGGCTCTCTGGCCTGTGGGAGCTCGCAGGAGGGTTGCAGACCACGCACTGGTAACCCAGGGTAGGGTTTTTGTTTCATCCCTCAGCCTCCTGCTTCCCTGGCCCGATCTTGCCTTCCCCTGCTACCCTCTCTCTCTTTCCCCCCAGCAGCCGTCGTCTTGACTTCCTCGAGACGTGGCTCACCAGAGGTCCCATCTCTTCCCGGGGACACGCTTTTCATCCCGAGTCGTTCTGTGATGGCCCTTGGGGCCCTGCAGAGGGCCCCCAGGTCGATGTCGTCACGATGTTGTCGCGGTTTTGAGTTTGATGTTGTCGTGGTTTCGATGTTGTCGCGATTTTGGAGACGTTGTCGCGGCAAACACCTCCCGTCGTGATTTCGGTCGCGTCGCGAGGGCGTGAGGGTCCGTCGCGGCGAGGCCCCCTTGTTCTTCAAGCCGACCGACCACACTTTCCTGTTCACGAAGGGTGGCCAGTGCCCCGGTGGCGTGAGGCCGCGATTATCCGAGAGGAGAGCGAGAGAGAGAGAGAGAAAGAGAGAGGAAAAGAGAGAGAGAGATATTGAGAGATTGAGAGAACGAGAAACCAAGACATCCTCGCGTCGTGAACAACAACATCATCAACAACAACACGACGGGCGTTCTTTTTTGTAGTTGATATGTTCACCCTCTGGGGGCCCTCGCCAGGCCCTGGGACCGTCTGAACACGACTCGCTATGAAACATCGGCATCTTGGGGAAAGGTTCAGGACTTTGGGGACGTTGCATAGAAGAAAGTTAAGACATCGCATGTCTGGGGAAAGAGAGAGAGAGAGAGAGCGAGGAAATGAGATTGAGAGAGCGGGGCGGGGGCTGCCGGCACGCGTAGGGCGGCAATCCATCATCATGACCATCCCTTTCCTCCCCCCCCCCTCTCGGTCATCCCTTCTCCCCCACCCCTTTTCTCTCCCCTCCCCTCTCCCTCCATCCTCCTCCCTCCCTCCCTCCCTCCCATTCTCATCACTCCGCCTTCCCTCTTGAACGAAGGATTGCAAAAAAACCCAGGATTGCAAAAAAAAAAAAAAACAAGGATTGCAAAAAAAAACCTCGCTCCCTCCTCTCCCCCTCTCCCACCCTCATCCACCCCTCCTCGCCCACTGCCTCCTCCTTCATGCATTCCCTCCCTCCGCCCGCCGCCCGCACCCCACATCCCGCATACGTCCTCCGTCGTCTTGATCCTTCTGCCTCTAAGCCCACGCCCTGCATCTCGAAGCCTGCCTCATCTAGCACTCTCCCCTCCGCATTCTCATCGCCATGACTAGTTTCACCAGTTCCTCAGTCCTCCTCGGCATAATTACTTCCTCCCCTTCATCCTCCTCCGCACACCTCTCATCCTCACCGTGATCGTCCCCGTCGGTCCTCCTCCCTCCACGATCCTCATCCTCCCCCCTCTCCCCTCCCTCTTCCCTCTTCCTGCAGCCTTCCTCCCCATCCATTCTCCCGCCTTCGTCGTCATTCCATCCCTCCATCTACCACCTCTTCCCTCCTCCCAAAACCCCCCCCCCCCCCCCCCCCCCCACACACACACACACACACACACACACACACACACACACACACACACACACACACACACACACACACACACACACACACACACACACACACACACACACACACACACACACACACACACACACACACACACACACACACACTTCGCCCTCCACCCTTCTCCCTCCCGCCCAGCCTCCTCTTGGTGTTGCCTGCGTATGCCCTCCTCCCTCCTCCTTTCCCCCCCATCACCCTCACCCCTTTCGTTCACTCCGTAGCCATTTCGGCTCAAGCTTCGCGAGGTTTACGTAATTCTGCCAACCCCAGGAGGAGTACACGTATTGTTGCCGATTTCATGTGCGTGTTGTTTGTGTTTTTTCCCCGTCTTCTTGTTTGCGTCTGGTTGTTGTTAATGAGTCCTCCTCTTCCTCCGCGTCGGTTGCGGGGTTGTTTGTGGTTCTCTTCGAGGCCCAGGAGGCTGCCTCTTGTATTCTGCCCAGGCTCCCGGCCAGCTTTCCGGGACCTTCCTGGGGTTTCTCGGGATTTCGGGAGGACGAGGAGGAGGAGGAGGAGGAGGAGAAGGGTCTTCGGGACCACATCGTGGGGGGAGGGCACCCGGGGTCCCTGCGGAGTCCTCTCCTCGAGCCCCTCCTGGGGGGTGTTTTGCTGCCCCGGGCGGCCGTCTTGGGGCCCTTTTGGGGGGTTCTCGTCGCGTCGTCGTCGTCGTCGTCGTCGTCGTCGTCGTCGTCGTCGTCGTCGTCGTCGTCGTCGTCGTCGTCGTCGCCCTTCTCCTCCTCCCTCCTCCTCCTCCTCCTCCTCCTCCTCCCCCTCCTCCTTCTCCCTCTCACTCCTTCCTCCTCCTCCTCCTCCTCGCGTCGCCTTCTCCTCTTTCTCCTCCTCCTCCTCCTCCTTCTCCTCCCCCTCCTCATTCTCCCTCTCACTCCTTCCTCCTCCTCGTCTACCGCGTCGGCGCACCAGAGGAGAAAGCACACAGCAGCGGGTCCAACGGCAGCCCCCAGGGGGCGGTGCAGCAGCGGGCAGGCGGCAGGCAGGGGGGGAGCGGCGGCGGCTCTCTCTCCGCGGCAGCCGGACCCCGAGCGTCAGGCCGTTCTTCCCGACCCTGCTCCAGATTTCGTAATAAAAGGAGGAAAGACTGGTCTACTCTGTAAGAAGGGTTTTTTGAAGGCAGATCTGCCTTCAAGGAGGAAAGACTGGTCTTTCCTCCTCCAGATTTCGTAATAAAAGGGAGGGGGTCTGGACCCTCCAAGACGAGCCATTTCAGACCCCCCCTGTGGGAGAACCCTCCAAAACATCGCCCCCAGACCCCCCCAGGCCCTCCAAGATAGCCTGGAAGAGACCCCCCCCGAAATGAGACCCCCTCCCTTTTATTACGAAATCTGGGGTACAGCTGGGGCCCTGAAGAAGGAACCCTTTTGGGTGGGGAGGGGCTCCGCGCTCCTTAAGTGTTCCACAGCTTGCCTCCGCTTTTACTTATGTCTTCGAGAGGAGATCGAAGTTCAACTCATGGAAAAAAAGGGGCCTCGTTCCTTATTCAGGGTTCCTGAGGTCAACGCCCCGACTGTAGTGCAAGTTGGACCTTTGATCTGAATGCGCTCCACCGCCTCCGCACATGCTCCCTGTCCTTCCTTCTGCTTCTGCATTGCGCATGTGCGTTGCGGCACACCCCTCGCACGCTTCGTGGCCTCACAGGGAGCTCCGCGGAAGGGCCCCAGTGGCAGGGTTTTCATGGCGCCTCCTCTCACCCCTTTCAGCACTTCTCGCACACGCTTCGTGGCCCCACAGAGGGGGCTCCACTGAAGGTCCCACTGGCAGGCTTCGCACGGTGCCTTGTGGGTCCTCTGTGTGGCACACGCCTCGCACGCTTCGTGGCCAGCGAGGAGCTTCAGCGAAGGCCCCAGGGGCAGGGTTCGCATGGCGCCTCGGGTCCACTGCGGGAAATCCTACACACGACGCCTCGTGGCCCCACAGTGCCCCACGGTTGGCTCCCGAGGGCCCCAGGGGCAGGTTTCGCATGGCGCCTCGGGCCAATATTATTGGCACACGCTGAACGCACGCGTCGTGGCCCTGCAGAGAGCTCCACCGAAGGCCCCAGTGGCAGGATTTGCATTTCGCCCTGGGTCCATGTCCGCACACCCTCACACGTTTCGTGGCCCCATAGGGGGGCTCCACCGAAAGCCCCAGTGGCAGGGTTCGAATGGCGCCTCAGGTCTATTTCGGCACACCCTACACAAGTGTCGTGGCCCAAACAGGAGCTCCACCGAAAGCCACAGTGGCAAGGTTCGCATGGCGCCTCAGGTCCATTACGGAGCTCCACCGAGGGCCCCAGTGGCAGGGTTCGCCTAAGGCCCATTCGGCACACCGCACACCCTACACACGAGACGTGGCCCGACAGGGAGCTCCACCGAGGGTCCCAGTGGCGGGGTTCGCATGGCGCCTCGGGTCCATGACGGCACACCACTCACACATGTCGTGGAGTGACTGCGTCCTTGCGTATTCAGCAGTCCTGCTTGTAGCCGCCTCGTATTTAGAAAGGGTTGGCGTCTTCGCCAGGGTAATTATATGAGTGGCGGCTCACCCCTTTGAGGAAGGGTCTTACACTTCACCGAGGCCTCCCACGTGGCGCACAGCGCGGAAACGCGAGCCTCTACCATTCTCTGCGCAGGCTCGAAGTCCCTCGCTGGGACGGGGCGGCGGGAGAGCATGAGGACTGGCGCTGCAGATGCTGACGGTTCTGAGTCAGGCGCCGGATTTGGACGCCAGCCCTCTTGCGAATGCGGCTCTGACCATCGAGGAGGCAGGGTTGGGCCTCGTCCACGTCTCAGCGCCGATGAAGATCTCGCGCAATTGGCCAGTGTGGAGTTGTAGCCACCGAGGGGTGTCGTCGTCGTCGACCTCGGCGGCGGCGGCGTCGGCGGCGACGGCGGCGGCGTCGGTCGACGTCGACGTCGGTCGTCGTCGTCGTCGACGTCGGCGACGTCGTCGGCGTCGGCCGTCGTCGGCGTCGGCGTCGGCGTCGGCGCCGGCGTCGTCGTCGTCGGCGTTGTCGTCGTCGGCGTCGTCGTCGTCGTCGCCCTCCTCCTCCGCCTCCTCCTCCTCCTCGTCTCCTCCTCCCCTCCTCTCCTCCTCCTCCTCATTATCATCATCATCCTTCTCCTCCCGCTGCTCGTCTCATTCCTTCCTCCTCCTCCTCCTCCTCCTCCTCCTCCTCCTCCTCCTCCTCCTCCTCCCCCTCCTCTACCGCGCAGGGCGAAGCGGGGGACCCCTGCGCTGGTTGGCGGTCGCAGCCGCCGCAATCCGCACGAGGATCTCCTTGCTCTTGCTTAGCAGGTGGAGCCCGCCGGTGCCAGGCTGCGGCATCTCCGCCGACGGCCAGGTGGGGCCCTCCATCCGGCGGTGCCGGGGGCGTGCGGGGGCGTCGGCCACCCTCCCGTCGGAGGCCCTGTGGCCTGGCACGACTCGCTCCCACCAAGGGCGTCGGCCGCCCCGGCTCCGGATGCCCTGCGTGGGGCCCCATGCAGGGGCGCCAGCAGGGGGCAGCCTGCTCCTTGGGGCCGTCGGAGCCCCGGGGGGCGGCGCCGCCGAAGAGGTCGGTGTGTATCGGAAGAGGGTGGCGCCGCCGAAGAAGAGGTCGGGCGTCGAGCAAAGGGCTGCGATAAGCGGAGGGGGTGGGTGAAGAAAGGTGCGCCTCTTGTGCCCCTAGAGGGGCCCAACAGGGGCACGGAAGGGGCACGTTTCTCTCCCCCCTCAAGTTTGTCGCCCCCCATGAGTTAACGCCCGACGGGAGGAGGAGGAGGAGGAGGAGGAGGAGGAGGAGGAGGAGGTGATGCAGTCAAAGGGGCTGGTGCGGCAGAAGCTCCGGCCGGGGCGTCGGCCACTCCATCGCCGGAGGCCCTGTGTGGAATGCCAGCAGGGGCGTCGGCCACTCCCCCGTCGGAGGCCCTGTTCTCACAGGCTGCACGAGCCCAGGACGCCGGCGTAATTAGTCGAAGAGGTTGGTGCTGAAGAGGGCGGTGTAGTTTCAAGCAATTGCGAAGCTTCCCGGCTCGCCTACAGGCCCACCAAATCATGTTATGATTGTTTTTTGGGGCTTGCACGAAACGTTCTTAGAGCATTTCGGGCTGAGGCTTTCTCGCTTTAATGCATCGGAGCATTTCGTGGTAGGCCTAGAGGATAACCAGGACAGCGGGTCCCTGCTCAATAATTCACCGAATAAGTTGGTGTAGCTGAACCGGTCAGTGTAGCCGAAACGGTCGAGATGACTTCCTCCTTGTCGGCATCGATGGTGTGGCTCTGGTTCTAAGCTCTGTCTCTTTGCAGCATCGGCCCTTCTGCGGGCGTTGCTGTCAGCGGCAGCTGTGACCTTGTGGTGAACTTTTCGTCGCTTGCCCGCGTTATGTGCATGACGCAGATGTAGGTGGTGTGGAATCGGACGCGTGTTTTTTTGCACATCTGACTGCGAGATTGACGGGCCGTTTGGGCCAGGCCTTCGTAGGGGACGCCGGTGACGTCTGACAATGTGCATATACATTGAGAGCACAACGAGAATGCAATCATGTGTGGCTCCACGACGCTTGCGGAGATGTGGGACATTTGGAATACGTTGGTGGTCAACCTTCCAGATGTGGGAGAGGAAGCCCTGAACCAGCCCGTTCCATAGGCTGGTCCTCGAGCCAAGCATGGCTACGGACCTTCCTCCTTCTCGTCCACCTCCTCTCAGGAGGGGAAAAAACACACAGACACAATTCATCGTCGAGTCCCAGAAAATATGGGAAAATATGGGAAGTGGGAGGGAAGATAGAAACCCAGAAAATATGGGAACATATGGGGGATATTCTTATTTGTGTGTACTTATTAGTGTGTCCCAGTTCCCCATTCATCCTCCTCCTCCCTCCGTGGAGGGCTTTCGGCAGTGCCCCCCTGCGCCGATCTTGGCGAGGCCGATCTCGGGCCGAGGATCGGTGTGGAGATGCTTCTCTGGCCAGCCCAGGAGAGCGCACGCGCCGATCCTGGGTCCCGCAGGCGCCCTGCGAGGTACAGTTGGCGCCCTCGCGCCCTGCGGTCTTTCCCGGCGTGGACTCGCAGCGGTCTCGGCCTCCCCCACGGGGGTCCAGACTTTTTTTCCATTCCGAGCCATTTGTTTGACGGCCCCGGCGCCCAGTAAGGCCCCCAGAGGCTGAGAGAGAGAGAGAGAGAAAAAAGAGAGAGAGAGAGAGAGAACACAAAGAGAGAGAGAGAGAAAAGAGAGAGAGAGAGATAGAACAAACAAAACGAAACGAGAGAGAGAGAGAGGGAAGCCGTGCACGCAGAAGGTGCATGGGCAAAGGGGGCAAATGACCGTGTGCAAAAAAGTGCCGCTGACATTTCTCAGTGGCGCCGCATGCCGCTGAGACGAGGACAACGACGACGACGACCACGAGGGCGAGGCGGGGGGTCTTCGAAGAAGGAAACATGCATATTCATAATCTCTCGAAGGTCCGCGCGGATTTCTTGGATCGGCGCTGGACCCCGCGCCAGAGGCGCCGCCTGGGAGGCCCAGCGTAGATTCAAGAAATCCGCGCGGAGATCTCTACCTATACATATCAACTGCTAAACTCTCGGAGCCCCACGCGGAGTTCTTGCATCGGCGCTGGACCACCCTGGCGACGCGCTACATGCGCGCCAGGGAGGGCTCTCCAATCCGAGGAATCCGTGTGGAGATGTGAAAGTTTATGTCTATGGAGTTGCTTCTTCCTGTACACCTTAGGCGATGCTTAAGAAAACCCAAGTTTTCGGCCAGAGTCTCGATTATTCTTAACGTTTCAATGTAAATCCTAAGATGTTGATCGAAGTTTTGGGTTTTTATTCAAGTTCTGAGACCATTCATTTCTTAACCCATGATTTCTTAACCATTTCGCGTGGTGTAGGCCCGTTCGTCTCCGTCGCCTGTGCACCGGCGCGATGCATCGGCGACGCGGCACGGCCCCCCCCGACCTCGTCAGTGCTGGCCCCGTTTGCGCATGGCCCGTTGCGATCCGTTCGGTATTGGTCTCGGCCAGCCCGGTCCGATTCGATTTCGATGATCGGAATCTCGTGCAGAGTGTTTCGTGATCCTGTTTATCACGCGCCCTACCGGAAACCCGGCTCAGTGGCGGCAGTGGTGCCCAAGCGGCAGGAGCTGCGAATGCGATGGTTTTTGTTTGGCCGAGGCGTTACGGACTTCGTAGCAAGATAAGATCGGCACAAGCTTCGTACCTACCGTATGTACCATTGGTAGAACGCTCGGCCCCCCTCGCCCTCCACCCCCAACTTCGCCGTTTGAAGCCAAGGGCTGGCGCATGGCTTTTGTACTTGTACTTGTACTTGCTTACCACGTCTGAAGCCCCCGCCCCCCGCGCGCAAGCCGCGCCGTGGCGGTGCACTTCACCTGCGGCCTCGAGGCCAGGGTGCTGAAGGTCACGGAGGCGGCCCCCGGCCGCGGCCTCCCTCCTCGGGGGGCAGCTCAGGAGGGAAAGAAAACACACAGACACAATTAATCACTGATTCCCCAGAAAATCTGGGAACATATGGGAGGTAGGGGGGGAGACACAAACCCAGAAAATCTTGGGAAATATGGGGAATATTTTTGTGTGTATCCGTAAGGGCTTCGCCCCCTGCCGCCGGCCCCCTCTCTCGGAGAATGGGCCATGGAAGAGCTAAGTCATGAGGCCTTGGCGCTGTCGTGAAGCAGTATCGAAACTTCATGCGAAGCCGATTCGCAATCAGCAAAACCAACTGATCACAAGAGGGGTTACCACACCTGGCGATTGGTAAGACGTGTATGGTTTACGGGCTTGGTTACCACACCTTGCGATTAAAGGGCCGAGGGAGTTCTCGCAGTTTGGGTTACCACGCCTTGCGATGGATGTGCGTGAAGGGTGGCACCGAATTTCAGAAATGTGCCAAATCCCCTGTGTTTTTGGACCCTGACCCCGCGGATCTGCGTGAGGGGTGGCACCGAATTTCAGAAATGTGGCAAATCCCCTGTGTTTTTGGACCCTGACCCCGCGGATCTGCGTGAGGGGTGGCACCGAATTTCAGAAATGTGGCAAATCCCTTGTGTTTTTGGACCCTGACCCCGCGGATCTGCGTGAGGGGTGGCACCGAATTTCAGAAATGTGGCAAATCCCATGTGTTTTTGGACCCTGACCCCGCGGATCTGCGTGAGGGGTGGCACTGAATTTCAGAAATGTGGCAAATCCCGATGTGTTTTTGGACCCTGACCCCGCGGATCTGCGTGAGGGGTGGCACCGAATTCCAGAAATGTGGCAAATCCCTTATGTTTTTGGACCCTGACCCCGCGGATCTGCGTGAGGGGTGGCACCGAATTTCAGAAATGTGGCAAATCCCTTGTGTTTTTGGACCCTGACCCCGCCGATCTGTGTGAGGGGTGTCGATTTCGAGCCCCCCCAGCAATTCAGACAACGCGCCCAGGAGGTGCTAAATATCTGGTTTGGGCCTCCCCCCCCCTCGCGCGGTCAATCAACTAGTTACAGTAACCAGCAAGAAGCAGAACTGTAACACTGGAAACTACAAGCTACAACTGGTACAGGAAACTGCGAACCCGCGCCTACAGCCTGGTGGCCCCACAAGGGGGCCGGCGGATTTATTCGTGTGTCCCACGGCCCCTTCAGCAACGTGCGGGGGTGGCATCCAGGGAAGAAGCACGCCATGACCACGATGTCGCGGGATCCTGTCCACGCTGGTTTTGGCCCGCCGTCGCCGATCCGCCAGGATTGTCCACGAATCAGCCGTGGCCAAGATTGGCACCAGCGTTTCCGCGCTCGGTCTTGGCCATGGCCACCCTTTTTCTGTGCCCCCAGCATCGGCTCAAACTTTGGTCAGAATGCACCCCAGGAGACGTTCGAGATGTTCGGGGGGTTCGCGGGTCGAGGTGTTCGGACGTGTTCGTCGGCTCGCCGCTCTCCAGCCTCGGGGTGCGTTCCAGCAGCTGCGCCTCGCCGAGAGCTTTCTTGGAGTGCCTGGTTTGTCCCGAGCGGCCGTTGGAGATTCGAGCTATGACCCGAAAGCCATGGGGGCAATATTTGGGGGGGTAGGGTCAGGGGGGATGCGTCGACCCCTGATCGTCCACTGATCGCCGGTGGGTGCCCGCTGGCCCATCCTGCAGAAGCGTGCGGATTTGCTATCGGGGGCCTATCGCCGAGCTGTCGGCGATGTATCGCCAATTCCAGGTCGATATGTCTCCCTCTGCACCCGTCTCCCCCTGATGCTCTCGCTCAGCCCTCCTTCCAGAGCAGATGAGTCGGAGGATCGTGCCGCATTGCCGACGCGTCGACGATGCGGCGCCATCCGAGCTGGGGTCTGGCGCAGATCCAAGGACTCCGTGTGGAGCTCCGAAAGTTTATGTTTATGGAGTCGTTTCTTCCTCTAGGCCCGCTCGTCTCCTTCTCCGTCGCCTGTGCATCGGTGGTCTTCCGACCCCATCAGCTCTGGCCCCGTTGGCCCAATTCGATCCGATCGACATCGGCCTCGGCCGGCCCGATCCAAGATGGAGTTCGATGGTCGGACGACCCGATGCGGCCCGGGGCCTGCCCGGCGCTGTTGTGCCTCCCGGCGCATCCGATTCGATTCCGACTCCGTTTCGATACAGCCCCATCCGATGCGCATTGCGATCAGATCCGATTTCCTGATTTGATGCTGTCCGCTCTTCCCTTCTTCCCAACCGTGCCCCTCCTGCAACAGGGGGAGCGGAGAGGCGAGGTCTTGTCCCAAGGCGCCCAGCCCACCCCCCAGCGTGGTGCCAGTGGAGGCGCTGCACGCCACGGAGGGGGGGCGGCGTCGCCATGGAGGAAGGGGGAGGATCGAAGAAGAACAAACGCCATGAACATACACTTTTGGAAGCTCCGCGCGGATTTGTTGGATCTTCGCTGGGGCCCCCTGGCGGCGCCGCTGGCGCCGCCCCTGGCGCGCTCCGCGCGCCAGGGAGGGGGGTCCAGCGCAGATCCAGGAAAATCCGCGCGGACCTCCAAAAGCTGATGTTTGTACGGTGTTTCCCCACCCGACAGGTAGGGGTTGGTAGATTTCAAAAATAAGCCCCCATACCCACCCTGCAAACCGCGGCCACCAGACCCCAAGTTGTCCTGGTGATCCCGGGTGTCCCGCCTCGCGCCCAGCCAACCCCATTCTGCATACCGCGGCCGCCAGACCCCAAGTTGTCCCGATGATCCCGCCGAGAGTCCCGGATGTCCCGCCTCGCGCCCGGCCAACCCCACCCAGCGTACCGAGGCCGCCAGACCCGAAGTTGTCACGATGATCCCCGAGAGCCCCGGGTGTCCCGCTTCGTGCCTTCGACGAACCCGACAGAACACAACACGACAGAACGTAGCATGACAACGGAACAGAGCATAACAAAACATGACACAAGCGTGCCAGAACATATCGTCGCGCGCTCGCAACGGGGCGTGGGAAAGGGGTTTGGGAAGAGAGCGCGAGCCTCCTTCCCAACATGTCCCTTCGATAGGCAGCAAACAACTATGTTTGTTCATACGCCGCACGGCCAACCGAACGAACAAACAAATGTCTCGGCGCGCAGTGTTACCTTCGCTTGCGCGCATCCTTTTTTCCTTACGTTGTTTCCTTCGTTTCTCTTCCTTTTCCTCTTCCCCTGCTTTGCCTCGTCCCCCCCTTCTTTTCCAGCTCGGAGCTGTCACCGCGCGCGAAAAGCGCAACCCAAAGGGCGTTGCTGTAATTCTTTTGTTTGCCACGAAGTCAGTGTAATTCCTTCGTGTGCGGGTCTGGTTGCATTGCCAACGCGAGGGGCACGCAAAGGAATTTCCTTTGTGTACGATCGTTTTCGCCGGCCCCACAAGACCACGCGCGATTCCTTTGTGTAGGGCTTGTTTCCCCGCCTCGAGGAGCGCACGGGGCCTGGCGCTACAGACGCAAGGCCGCGGCGCCTGGCAGCGCGATGCAGCTGCGCCGGATACCACGCCCAAAGTGATCCCACGTGGATTTCGGCATTTATGCCAAAATCGCGCTGGCTGCTGGCCAGCCACATCGCCGGCCCTGCATGCCCTCGCGCGCTAGTGCGTTCTGCTGCCTCGACGCGTGCTGCTGCCAACGGAGGAAAAAACTGACGTTGCATGGTGGTTTGGCTGTGCCACCATGTAATGTCTGTTGGTAGCGGAGCTTGGGATTTCATCGCAGTCGACAGCGCTGCCACATCATACTTTTCAGTCGCATCCTAGAGCACTGCCGTACAACAACCCTGGGTCGGATCGCCTGGGATCCAGTGGCATGGATGCACATGCGTTGCACCGTTGGTGGTGCCAAAACCTTTTTTGTGTAAAATTCTTTTGTGTGTGTAGTTTGGCTCCTACTGACGGAACATCACAGAACATGCCAGAGCAGAACATGGCACAACAGAAGACAACAGGCCACGACAAAACATAACATAACCGATCATAACATAACATATCTTGACATAACCGACCATATCATGACACATCATTGCATAAGATATCATAGTACGACGGCAGAGCATAGCGACAACGAAACAGACATAACACACCATGGCGCACAATATCATTACATAACAGAACACGAGTATAACATTATTAACATGACAGAGCATACCATATCAATGACATGACAAACCAGGGCGTAACCCAAACATACCATATTATAACATGGCATACCAGAAAACGAGCATACCATAACATGTCAGAAAAAAGGCAGAGCATCACATAACACAGCTTGACGAACCATATCCGATATTGACATATCAGCACATAACATATCATAACACGATAACAGAGCATAGCGACGACGAGCGCGACATAGCACAACATGACACAACATAACATGACAGAGCTGAGCACGAACACGACAAACCATGACAGAACATAACATAAGAAAGAGCGTGTTCTACCGCTGCTAATGGAAAATCGGGGGGGGGTCACTGGGGGTTCCCAACCCGTCCCCCCCCAGCGAAAATGGGGGGGGCCACTACCGGTTTGAACCCCTCCCCCCCCCCCAGTCCCACATGAAAACGGGGGGGTCACTATCGGTTCGAGCCCTCCCCGTCCCCCCTCCTCGACAGCCGGGGGGGTCACTACCGGTTCGAGCCCCCGCCCCACCCTCGAAAACCGGGGTGGGGGGGGAGGGGGCGGGGTGGGGGGGGGAGGGGGGAGGGGAGGGATTCGAACCGGTAGTGACCTCCGAAGGGGGGGGGCTTCGAACCGGTAGTGACCCCCCCGGTTTTCGAGGAGGGGGGGGTTCGAACTGGTAGTGACCCCCCGCGGTTTTCGAGAGGGGGGGGGGGTTGAACCAATCCCCCGGGTTCCGGAAGGAGAGGGAGGGGGGGGGGGAATTTTCCAGCACTAAAGCGGAAGTGGATCACGCTCTCTCGAACATAGCAATGTCATGGCAAATCAGGGTATAACATAACATCGCGTAACATACGAGAGCAGAACATGACATGGCAGAAGACGACACCACACACCATAACATAACGTAATCAGGCATATCATAACACGCCGTGAAAGAACATATCTTCTCGTGACACCATTCTCGAGCATATCATATAGCACGACAGCAGAGCATAGCGACACGTACTAATAGAGCAGATCATCACATACTACACAGAGCCCGGCCGCCAACAAACATACCATCACATTCAATACCAGAGCAGAGCATGACATAACAGGAGACGACAGGTCACGACAGAACAGAACATAACCGATCGTAATATAACACACCTTGACAGAACCGATCATATCATCACACAGCACCACAGGACATATCATAGTACTACGGCAGAGCATAGCAATAAAGAGAACGACATAGCACAACATGACACACTAGACCATGACAGAACAGAACACGAGCAAAGCCACGCTTCACAGCGCATGACATAACATGGCATAACACACCAGAGCAGAACATGACAGAACAGAAGGCGACAACACAGCATACCATAACATAACCGATCATATCAATACGCACCTTGTCAGAAAAGCTCATGTCATGGCACAGCATCACCTAACATATCATAGCACGACAGCAGAGCATACCGGCACGTTAAAGCCAAGCGTATCATATCATAGTATACAGAGCCGAGCCGTCAACAACCACGCTATCTCATAACATACCATTGCATAACATGACATAACAGAAGACGACATAGCACAACACAACACAACATAGCCAATCATACCCTAACCACCATGGCAAATCAGCATACCATACCATGACAGCATCACAGAACATATAACAAAGAAGCAACAACGCACGGCGAACATACTAGCATATCGTATCATAATGTAATATACTGAGTTGACCTGTGAACAGCATCACGGAACACATTTTACTACAACACACTTTGGGCGAACATATCATATCCTAAAATAGTACCGCAGAGCAGAGCATGCCATACTATGTGAAGTTTCATCGTGGCAGAGATAAGCATCACAGAACAGACTCGTTCAGAAAAGAAACGTAAGCGAAGAGAAGCATCACAACAGACGACGCATCTAACGTCACAGGCGTCACGACGTCACGCCAGCCCGTCGAGAACGTAACAGATATTATCGAGCACAACATAGTTGAACCGTTTTTTAGAATCCAGAAACCGCAGTTGTCGACCACGTAGGCGACCGCGCGCCGTCCAATACAAACGTCTAAGGTTTCGGTGGGGATCGCTCGAAGCAAATTGGTACAAAGACCGATTGCAATACATTGTTCATTCTGAGCAGGGTTCGCTGACGGCGTCGACGCGGACGTTGTCCATTCGAGACAGAAGGCCTCCTGCCCAACAGCGGCCGCTGTTGGTTTGGGACAACATATGTTGTTGGGCATTGTACCCATTCGTTCCGTACCCATGACGGGCGTCCGAAAAATTTGAAAGAGCGTGTTCTACCGCTGCTGGCGGAAAACCGGGGGGGGGGTCACCCCCCCCAGTCCATCATGGAAAGGGGGGGGGTCACTACCGGTTCGAACCCCCCCCCCTCGAAAACCAGGGGGGGTCACTACTGGTTCGAACCCGGGCCCCCCCCCTCCTCGAAAACCGGGGGGGTTACTAGGGGACGTTGGGGCAGCACAGTGGGACAGCGGCGGGGACAATGGGACAGTGGTGGGTGCAGTGGGGACAGTGGGACAGTGGTGGGGACCGTGGGGAAAGTGGGGAGAGTGCGACCGCGGTTGGACAATGGTGGGGAGAGTCCACCGTCATCCTCCTCCTCCCCTCCCGCCCTCCTCGCCCCTCCCCTCCCGCCCTCCTCGCCCCCCCTCGCTCTTCCTCCCCGCCTCCTTGGCCCGCCCTCCGCCCTGGGTTTCCTGCGCGCCCCGCCCCCTCTGAGCCCCCCTCGCCGGATTTCTCGCAGGTGCAGATGTGCGCCTACGTGGCCCTGATCTCCCACCCCGGGCCCTGCAGCCTGGAGGCCGCCCCCACCTTTCGGGGGCGGAGAAGAGGGGGGTGATGACTAGGAGGGGGGGGTGGATGTCATGGCGGGGGCCATGATATTGCCCCAGAGTTCATGGCGCCTCGTCTTCTTTCATTGCGTCCCTGGCCTCCCCGCTGGGCCGCGCACATGCCGCCGGTCATGATTTGCACCCCCCCTCTTGGACACCCCCTTCTTGGCCGCTCCCGAACCTTGGCGCCGGCTGGGGGGCTGAGGTGGCCCACCATCCCAGACCTCCTCCTGCTGTGAAGAAATCACGACGGGAGGTTTTTCGTTATCTTCGGCCTCCAGGGGCCCTTCCGGGGCCTCGCGGCCGTCAATAACACTATTCGGGACGAAAAGCCGGTTCCGGGGAATAGATCGAGCATTCTGGGAACCCCGTATCGAAAAAATCACGACATCGGATCTTTGGGATTGGTTCCGGCCAGCAGGGAGGGAGGAGGAGGGAGCTTCGGCCAGTGCGATCGAAACCTGTACGAACAGCATGGGCACCAGGATCGACCGCAGTTCCTGCTCGTTTCGGGCAGGACGCGCTGTCGGTGTCGCCACGGACGTTGACCATTTGAGACAGAAGGTTTAGAGCACCATGACAATGTTTTCACCTCGCAGTTGGAGGAAGCAGTGTGCGCGCGTGTGTGTGTGTGTGGTGTGTATGTGTGTGTGTGTGTTGTGTGTGTTGTGTGTGTGTTGCGTGTGATGTGTGTGTTGTGTGTGCGTGTGTGTGTGTGTCTGTGTGTGCGCGTGTTTGCCCATCCTACCTGGATTGTACCGAGTTTGCCAGCTCTGTACGAGCTACCACACAAGGTGTTGAGCTTGCTCAGCGTGCATCCCGCCTCAACAAAGGAAACGCTTATCTTACGTCATCTGCTAACTCCCGCCACCTGCGCGTCGCAGGGAACATGTGTGTACTTTGTGCGCGTGTGTTTGCGCAGGTTTGTGCTTATATGTCAATTCATCGACAGCGTGTACCGCATGGTTCGAACCCCCGAGTAATCATACTGAGGAATCAGTTGTGCGCCGTTCTTCATTCGGAGGACGGAGCAGGATGCTGGTTATTAGTCAACAGAAAATGTATGCCATGATGGGTTCGATGCGACTGTGACTTGAGTGTTGCTCTGTGGGAAGCGAAACTAACCACCCGCAAGAGCCTAATACAAACGAACCGCTGCACGCACGCTGTGAATTACCCGGGTGCCAGTAAAGGATATTGTTGGCGCGTGTCGTTCTATATTGGGAGTACGGTATGCTCATGGGGACCTCGACTAGTCGCCGGGAGCATCAGTGTCAGCGCAGCAGAACAATGTGAGTCTGTGTGTATGTGTGGACGCGTGTATGTTTGATTGGCCGTTTCGTTGCGCACCAATTGGACGATCTCAATGCGTGGTGATGTTGCACGTGTGTTCTGTACTTTGCATCCTGCCCGATGACTGCCACAAGCTGCGCGTCAGAGTAAGCTAATTGTTGACGCTTCGCGAATCCCCACCAGCCCATCCAGAAACGATGCCCAGAGGAATTGCCTCGATCAGGGAAGTGGGTAGCACACAGAGGAAGCCAGTATGAGACATCTTGGGATATCTTGAGCCATCTGGGAGGTCATCTTGGGCTCTCCCAGGCGCTCTTGGAGTCATCTTAATCAGTGCCGCCCCCTAAGAGGCCAACATGTGCCTAAAACCTTAGTAAAATCAATGATTTGGCATTCTCGCTGAGGCCTCTTGGAGCATCTTGGGTGCCTCTGGGGGGTCTCTTGGGGCCTCTTGGGGGTCTCTTGGGAGCCTCTTGGGTGCATCCTGGGAGCCTCTTGGGGCTTCCTGGCCACCTCTTGGGGCCCTCTTGGGGCACCCTTGGGAGCCTTGGGGGCCATCTTTGGGCGTGAGATCGATCACAGGAGGAGGGGTTACTAATTACAGTCCCCCCCTCAGGAGGCCAAAATGGGGCCCAAACCCTCGTAAAACCAATGATGTTGGCTTCCTCGCCGAGGCCGTTTTGGAGGCTCCGACGACTCGCGGACCCCCCCGTCCAGGTCCAGGGGAGGGGGTAGGGAGAGGGGTAATTAAGCCCCTCCCCGAAGGGGAAGAAGGAGGGGTGGAAGAGGAAATTCCCTAAACCACCTACGCCCAGAGGGCTGGTGGGATTGTCCAGCATTTCGTCTTCCCGGGAGCACGTCATCGCCTTTCGTAGTTTCTTCCAGCACGCCCGCGGCTTGCTTTTCGCGCCGGTCCGCTCGGAGCGGGGTGAGACAGTGTTCGCCCCTCTACTGGGGAGGTGTGTTGCGTTGTGTTATGACGTGTTGAGTTGTGATGTGCTGTGTTGTGTGTGGTGAATGTTTGTCCGTGTGTGTGTGTGTATGCGCGTGCCCCCATACATGTGATTTTTGTTTTTCCGATCGTTGTCTTATTTAATCGTTTCGCTCTTTCCGCCGGCCCATAGTGTCGCATCTATTCCGTTTGCCCCAGGGCTCGTTGTGAATCAGGCGTCGTTCGAGTCTCCTGACAGGAGTCTCGGGAGCTCCCTTTTGAGGGGCCTCTTGGGCCGTCTTGGGGCCACCTTAGGCCGTCTTGGGGCTCTCTTGGGCCCTCTTGGGGCCGTCTTAGGCCGTCTTGGGGCTCTCTTGGGCCCTCTCGGGGCCGTCTTGGGTGCCCCTTGGGACCCGTCGGGGCCGCCTTGGGCGCCCCTTTCGTGATCGTTTTTTCTTATTCATGGTTTTGCCGACCGGCGCGGGCCCTCCTCCCCCCCCCCGTTATTCACCACCCACCAAACCACCCCAACCCAACCCGAAGGCTCAGATTTGCCCTCGATTTCCAGTGGGGGGGGGTCGGGAAACATCGAAAAAACACGTGTGGAACCCTTACCCCCCCCAACCCGAAATTCGGGTCTTCGGGTTGGGTTGGGGTGGTCTGGTAGGTAGTCAGTTCTGGAGTAGATCTTGGCTGTCTTTGGCGCCTGCCTCAAGCGGGTGGAGCCTCCCCCGTAGGACGCACGGCTGCACACAGTCGCACTCAGCAGGTTGTCCGGAGCCAGACCCCCCCCCCTCCCCCCCTTCGTCCGCCCAATGCCGGAACGCCGAGTCAGAAAACGCTCACATGCCGGGTCCCCGGAAGTCCGAGCCCTCCCGAGGGCTGGTTTCTCGTGCCGAGCCGTCTCCTGTGACGGCACCGCGCCTCTGGAGCGGGGGCCCCCGGAGGCCGAGGGGTGCTGAAAGAGAGACTGTCCGTCGCGTTTTTTGTGGCTGTCCACCGCGAGAGCACTTCTGGGTCTGTGTCGGAGGAGGAGGAGGAGGAGGAGGAGGAGGAGGAGGAGGAGAGGGAGGAGAGGGAGGTGTGTAGAGGCCTCCCAGGCATGGTCCGAGTAGATGGGGTCGGCGGAGCGCGCCGCCTCCCAGAAGTGCTCTCGTGGTTGTCCACCACGAGAGCACTTCTGGGTCTGTGTCTGTGCACTTGGCATCGCTCGGGCGTGTGCATTTTCCCCTCGGCGAGGGCCCTCGAGGAGCCTCCTCGATCCTCTGGCGAAGAAAAGCCACGCACGACACCGAAAAAAAAGCACGGGGAGTGGACGTCCGAGCGATGGCCGGGTGTGGAGGCCTCCCACGGTGGGGTCCGAGCAGACGGGGTCGGCGGAGCGCGCCGCATCGCCGAGGCATCGGCGGCGCGATGCGCGCTGCGGGGCCCGAGTTTTTGCACGCCGGCGGCGCCGGTGCATCGCCGACGTATGCGTCGCCGACGTATCGGCGATGCGGCGCGAAGGAGAAAGAGTAGGAGGAGGAGCAGGAGGAGGAGGAGGAGGATTCTCCGACCACATCTGTTCCAACCCCATCTAGCAGGCCTCCAGTGTATGTGGCTGAGTGTGCCCTGACCTTCCAGGAGGGCCAACACATAGCACCAGGACCTTGCCATCGAAATACCGCGCCAGATTTGAAGCAGGCGAGATAAGTGTCTATAGGTCTGGAGGGCGATGTCTTAGCATTCTGGACGGTGAGGGTGCTTGTGTATTTCTCTTGTGCCGGCCCCGTGCCTCAGTCGTGGCCCCCTGCGCTTGGCAGCCTGGCCAGCAAGGGCATGGAGCTCCCGCAGCTGGAGGCGGCGGCGCTCTTGTGGAGGCAAGGAGCAGCGAGCGAGCAGGAGGAGGAGGAGGAGGAGGAGGAGGAGGAGGAGGAGGAGGAGGAGGAGGAGGAGGAGGAGGAGGAGCGCGGGGCAGCGTGGAGCAGGAGGCACCAGCGGGGAGGCAGTGCGGGGCAGAGAGAGAGAGAGAAGGAGAGTGACTGAGAGAAAGAGAGAGAGAGAGAGATACATTATCTCACACCAGGCAGCTGGAAGCTGACACAGATGAGCGGCCCCCCCCCATTATAATGTGGCGGGCCCCAGAGGCCCCAGGGGTCCCCGAGGCTCTCTCTGGTCCCCCACTCGGGCAGCCACTTGGGCCTCCCAGACCTCGCGGAGCCCCCACTTGGACCACCTCTTGGGCCTCCTGGACCTCGCGGAGCGGCCCAAGATCGCTCACGGCAACCTCGACACAGCGCCAAATGCCACCAAGGGAGCCCCAGAGGGCTTCAGAGGCTCCCGATCACACCCCCGAGAGAGACCGAAATGCTTCAAAAGCGTAGGAGAGATGAATCGTTGTCGTCCTCTCGCGCTCCCGCCTCCGATTAGGCTCCAAGGCTTCAGAAATGGCCCCCAAGAGGCCCGACAGGGTCACGCGGGGCCCCCAAGACTCCCCAAGAGGCCCCAAGTTGCCCCCCAAAGCCCCAAAGAAGCCCCAAGACGCTCCCAAGAGCCCCCCAGAGGTCCCCCATACGGCCCCCCGAAAGGCCGCCAGAGGCTCCCCAGAGGGCCCCAAAAGGCCTGCAAGAGGGCCCAAAGGCCTGAAGCACCCCGCCCCCATTGCCTTCCGTCACCTCCCCATGCCCCCCGCACCCCGCACCTCCGTGTGGCTTGCGAGCCCTCGATGCCCCCCTGGAGGCCACGCACGGGGCCCCCGCGAGGCCCCCAACACGCGCCAGGGCCCCGACGAAGCCCCAAAAGGTTCCCAGAGACTCCTAACAACGTTGCGCCTTACCTTCCCAACCTCCTGCGCCCCACACTTCCGACAAGCTTTCAAGCCTTCTGTTTCCCCCACGACTCCGCCCAAGACACTCCCACGAGGCCCAACCGTCACCTTCGCAACCCCCTGCACCTCACACCTCCGACCGGCACCCGAGCCCTCTGTTTCCCCCACGACGCCGCCCAAGACGCTCCCACGAGGCCCCACCGTCAGCTTCGCAACCCCCTGCACCTCACACTTCCGACCGGCACCCGAGCCCTCTACGTTCCCCCCAGAGACCGCCCAAGAGGCTCCCACGAGGCCCCCAACAAACGCCAAGAGGCCCCGACAAAGCCTTAAAAGGCTCGCAGAGACTCCTAGCAACGTTGCCTCGCCTCCCCTTCTTAGAATCCCCAACCACCTGCCCCAGCCCTACACCCCGCGCCTTTCGACCCACATCTCAATTAATCTCCACGACCTTCTCGACGGCGCCTTCACCACCGCGGTGAGCAAGAAGCCAGCCAAGAAGCCCAAGCAGCGAGAAGTACCCGCGGCGCAACCCGCCCACCGAGCCACGCAGTATGTGTTACAGCGAGTGCGGGGACACTCCCCCGTCGCTCGGACACGGGATAGCGCGGCGCCGGGACCACCTACCCACTACGTGCTTACATATCTACACACAAAGTCATCACTGCCGATGAGCGGTGCCATCGCCCTTCTCAGGCTTCGGCGCGAGCGCACTCTCAGGTGTCCCGCGACCGTCCGCCCCCCACTTCCCAACCCCAGACCAGCCCATCGCCGACATCTGGAGCCGACAGGTTCTGCGCGATTTGCACGCTGCGCACTCGCGCACCATGCCAAGGCTTCAAGCGACGCGCAGCGAGCTTCAAGTCCTGTAAACATATGTACGTGTGCGTGTTTATACATCGGTGCATACTTGTGTATACTTATATACATACATGTATTCATGCATAAATGCGTATATACACATACATGAATAATAAAGGGAGGTGGGTTCAGGGGCCCTGGAAGGCACTGATTTTGCACCCCGCCGTCTTGGACCCGCCGGGGAGCGCAAACACGCGTCGAAGTAGGGGAAGAGGCGCGACGAGAGGGCCCGGGAGACGTCCGAGAGGGCTCTAAGACGGCCCAAAACGCGCTCCAAGAGAGCCCAAGACCGCCCCCGCTCATGGGCCTGGTTAGTTTTCCTCCATCCTTTTTTGACAGCTCGCCTCAGTCAGGAAGCCGACGTTAGGTTTGCCTCAGTCTGTGATGCATTGTATGTTGCGCACAATGCCTGGAGGCGTGGTGCCACGAAGCTGCTGTTTGAAGGCAGGCGAAGAGTTCACTGCCGCGTGCATCCTGCTGTACAGACTGCGTGGAACCAGATGCCAGTGGTCGGGCAGGCTGGTGGCGGAAGTGGCAGCGGATGAAACAGACCGCGAGCGCCACCCAGCCCTGCGACAGAGCCATGAGCTCTCGGTCGTGAATTTTCTGTTTTGCTGAGCCACCGCAGGGGAATGTGGTGCCACCCCCCGAAAAAAAAAGAGAGCCCAAGACCGCCCGAGAGCGTTCCATGATGGCCCAACGTGGCTTCAACACAGCCCAAGAGGGCCTCAAGACGGCCAAGAAGCCATCAGAAGGAGTCCCACGAGGCCTTCAGGAAGCGAACACCTATGTTTTCAAGTGTTTGAAAAGCCCAAGACGGCCCAAGCGGCACCCAGGACGGCCGCAAGAAGGTCCCAAGAGGGCTTCAAGACTGCCTCAGAGAGCCTTTTTGTTTCAATATTGCCCAAGAGAGCGTGGTAATGTTGTTGTTGTTGTTGATGATGATGATGATGAGGGTGATGAGTACTGATCATGGTCATGATGGTGATGGTGATGGTGATGATAATGATGCGCGTGGTGGTGCTGATGGTGGTGATGGTGGAGATGGTGATGGTGATAATGGTGATGATGGTGGTGGTGATGATGGTGATGGTGATGGTGATGTTGATGGTGGTGATGGTACTGGAAGAGGTGGTGGTAGTAGTGATGATGATGATGTCCACCCTCATCATTGTCAACATCAACAACAGCACCATCATCGCCACCATCCATCATCACCAGCAGCAGCATCACGAGTAATGGGCCCCAGCCCCGGATCCCAGCCCGGATGACGATGTTGATGCGTGTGAATATTATGAGGATGATGATCGTGACAGTGATGATGGTGATGATGCAAAAGGTTACGATGACGATGATGATAATGACGACGAATCTGACTATTATGATGCTGGTGATGATGATGATTTTGATGCTGATGCTGATGGTGATGATGATGCTTGTGTTGGAGGTAATGTTGGTTGTGGTGATGGTGGTGATGATGATGATGGTCGTGGTGGTGGTGATGATGATGATGATGGTAGGGTTGCGGCGGTGATGATTATGCTGCTACTGATGATGATGATGCTTATGTTCATGCTGATGATGACGGCGATGCTGATGTTGTTGGTGGTGATGATGATGGTGATGATGAGGATGATGGCGGTGATGATGACGACGATGATGATGATGATGATGATGATGATGATGATGATGATGATGATGATGATGATGATGATGATGATGACGACGACGACGACTATGATGATGATGATGATGATGATGATGATGATGATGATGATGATGATGATGATGATGATGATGTTGATATTACTGATGACGATGATGGTGATAATTCTGATGGCGACCCTGGCGATGATGGTGATGACGTACATGATGATGATGATGCTGCTGGTAATGAGGATCTTCGCTAGAACCTAAGACAGCGTCAGACGGCCTCAAGGCGCTCAGCGAGGGGGCCTCCGGACGGCCCCACGCTCCCGAGAGGCCCAGAGGAGCCCCACGAGGCACCCCGCGGCCGCCCAAAAGAGTCGCTTTGCCCAGAGGGGTCAGCCAGCCGCTCGGGCGGCGCAGGGCTGCTCCGAGGCACCCCTAAGATGGCTTCTACAGTCAAAACCCCTCCTCCTCCTCCTCCTCCTCCTCCTCCCTCCTCCTCCTCATCCTCCTCCTCCTCCTCCTCCTCCTCCTCTCCTCCTCCCCTTCTCCTCTCCTCCTCCTCCTCCTCCTCCTCCTCCTCCTTTGCTCAGGGTACCCTTGCGTCCTTGCTCTTCCTTGCTCTTGCGTCCTTGGGGTTTTCGTCGTCCGCCGCCCCAGGATCCCAGCTTCGGCTCCCAAGGGTCTTGCGGCCTTGCCGCGCGTCCTTGAGTCTCTGACGACTCAGGGCACACTTCAGACTTTTCAGGAGACGCTCAAGACAGCCCAAAAAACGGCCCCAAGAAGCTCGCCTAGGAGGCCACCGACAAGCCAACAACATTTACGCACCCATTTGGACTCAGTGATTGGCGCCTTGTTGCCTTTCCGTCTCCGATGGTTTGCTGAGGCCCCCAGATCGCCCCAGAGAGGCCTTAAGACGCCCCCACAGAGTGCGCAAGAGGCCCCACGAAGCCCAACACGCCCTCAACGGGGACCCGAAACTGCTCCCGAGAGGCGCCAGGCATCCATGAAGGCGGCCCAGAGAACCTCCAATCGCACCCAGGCATCTGCGACAAACCTCTGGTACTTCCCTCCTGGGCTTCCAAGAACACACCAGATGGGCTTCAGGATGCTTCGCGACGCTCCCGAGACAGGCAAGAGAGCTCTAAGACAGCCCACGAAAGCCTCCGGACAGCCCAAGAAGCTCCAACCAGCTGCCAAGAGATTGCCAAGATGTCCTCAAGAGGTCCCAAAGACAGCTGACGAAAGCGTCAAGGAGTTCCAAAGACCAAGGGGAAATGTATGACTTTTGCCATTCTGGTTTTTCGCCTCCGATACCCTTCAGAGGCTGACGAATTACCCCTACTAGAACGCCAAGATGCCCTCCAAAGGCACCCCAAGCATCCCCAAGAGGCCAGAAGAGGCTCCCATGACTCCTGAAGAGGCATCCTCGATGCCCCATGAAGGCCACCAAGAGCTTCCGAAGAGCCCCCAGGAGGCGCTGAAGAAGCCTATCAAAACTATTTCAGGGTTCTCGCTTTTCTGAGCTCCCGACGGCTCAAGCCGCCCACAAACGGCACCCAAACGGCCCCACTGACACTCCGGGGCCGAACTGCCAGATGGGCAGCCCTTCGGGGGGCGGGCCAGTCGACAGTGGGGCTCCACTGGCAGCAAACGTGCGGGCCCAGCCGAGGAGGGGGGAAGAGGTCGCTGGCGCATTCTGCAGTGGGGCCCCAGTGTCAAACAGCTGGCCTGGGGGCCGGGTCTGCGGGTCTGGGCGGCCATCGCGGGAGCCTTGAGACGGGGGTCAATGCAGACGGGGGTCAGCCAGAGCGCCGGATTTTGCAGGATCCTGCAGAGCCAGGCTCCCACTGACCCGGGTTTGGGTGCAGGATCCTGCAGGATGTTGCAGGATCATTCGCATTGACCCGGGCTTGGGTGCAGGGTCTTGCAGGATCTTGCAGGATTCTGTAAGGCCTGGCTGACCCCGGTCTGGGTTGACCCGGGTCAGAAGATCCCCGAGGCCAGGGAAATCCGATGATCGATTTGACAGCCGGGCTGCCACACGGGCCATCGGGGGGGGAGGCAGACCGAGGCGCGGGAGGTGAGTTCCAATTGCCCATCTGCCAGTGGGGGCCCACTGTGAAATGGGCAATCGGGGGGGGGGGGGGGGGTGGGGGGGGGGGGGGGGCGAGTCGCGAGGATTGAGCTCCGATTGCCCGTTCGACCGTGGGGGGCCACATTCAGAAGAGCAATCGGGGGGGCTAGGCCGAGGCGGGGGAAGTGAGCTCCGATCGCCCAATTGACAAAGGGAATCCGTTTGTCACATGGGTCATCAGGGTAATTACCCGATTGCCCATGTCATAGTGGGATCCCCGATGTCAAGCAGGACTCGTGCAAAGCCTACTGACAACAACTGCGAAGTCGGTTAACGCGCGTACAGCGCGCGCGTGGCGTGTTATATATACATATATATAAGTTTGTATATACGTGTCTAGATGTATGCATACATATATATATATATACACACGTGTGTGTGTTGATGTATGTATGCAGATATGCATGTGCGCACGTACGTGTGTATGCATGTATGTGTGCATGTATCGATGCGTGTATGTATGAGCTTATGTATATATATGTAGGTTTATGTATAGATGTATGTATGTATGCATGCATGTATGTATGTATGTATGTAGGTATGTGTGTACATATGTATGCTCATATGTATGAACGTGTGTATGTACGCATGCATGTATGCACGTAATTGTGTATGTGTGTATGTGTGTATGTATGCATGTACGTAGTTATGTATGTATGTATGCGTCCGTGTACGTATGTCTGTATGTATGCATGTATGTGTGTCTATATGTATGTATGTGTGTACGTATGTATGTATGTATGTCTGTCTGTCTGTCTGTCTGTCTGTCTGTCTGTATGTATGTATGTATGTATGTATGTATGTATTTATGCGTGTATGTATGTATGTGTGTGCATGTGTATGTATATGTATATGTATATGTAAAGGTACATGTATATGTATAGGTATAGGTATTTGTACATGTATATGCATATGTATATGTATATGTATACGTATATGTATATATACATATGTATATGTATGTGTATGCATGTGTGTATGTACGCATGTAAGTATGATTCGGTGGATGGATGGTTGGATGGATGGATGGATGGATACATATACATATATGCATCTAGATATATGTGTGTATGTACGCATGTAAGAATACATGTATAAGTATAGAGAGGGGGTGAGAGAGAGGGAAAATATAGTTGTATCCATATATATAGAGGGTGCGAGAGGGAGAAATAGAGGGTGCGAGAGGGTGCGAGAGGAGTGGGAGGAGTGGGAGGGGTGGGAATCTATATATATATATATATATATATATATATATAGGAGGGTGCGAGAGGAGTGGGAGGAGGAGCAGCGGTAGCTGCCGCTGTGGAAGGGCCGGGAGGAGCGGGAGCGCAGGCGGGGAGGGGGGGGGGGCAGGCAGAAGGCGGAGCAGCGAGAGTCCGCCGGGGCCTTCGATGGTTTCGCGTGCTTTTGTGCTGCGTTTCCCCCCTCTCCTCTTTCGGGGGAGCGTACGACCCGGGTTTGCCAGGACTCGGGTTCACCATCGTTTTTTGACGAGCGCGCCTCGGATTTTGACGAGGAGGAGTTTCGTGGGATGTTTGCAGCGGGAGGCCTCGTCAAAATGCAGGCTCGGCCTCGTCATTTTTTTGACGACCTCGTCGGGGATTTCCGAGTCCCCTGTACCCAGGTCTTACGTCTCCCCGACTCTTTATGTGCATGCGGGACAGCTCGGCATCGCCGTCTCCCGTGCTGCCGAGCGCGCGTGCGGGCCGACTCTGCCGCGCCGCGGCGCGAGACGCGTGCTGGCGTTCCTCGGCTGGGTCCTTCAAGGGGGGGACGAGGGGCCGATTTCCACCGCCACCACCATATGTAGGAGAGGGAGGAGGAGGAGGAGGAGGAGGAGAAGGCGGACCTCCCGATCCTCCCTTGTCCCCCGTCGTACATGCCTGTGGCAGTGCGGGTGGAACATCGGCCCATCAAGAGAAGAGCGGGCTACAATGTCTGCATATTTTTGGCCGGGCCCATCCCTAGGCCCAGGATGGGCGGGCGGACATGTTCTTGAGCGCAGTGCCCTCCCCCCCCCTCCCCCCCCCCCAGATGGGGGAGGGGTCCCAGGGCCCCGCGTGCCTTCCCGAGAAGAATGGGGGGAGGACGACCTCGACGGGGCGACGGCTACGACGACGACGCCGACGCCGACGGTGGCGTCGAGGACGAGGACGATGACGATGACAATCACGTTGATGATAGTGGTGGTGGTGGTAGTGGTGGTGGTGGTGGTGGTAGTGATGCTGATGCTGATGATGGTGATGATGGTGGTGGTAGTGATGATGATGCCGATGCGGATTCGGATGTTGATGCTGATAATGACGGTGGTGGTGGTGGCGACGACGATGATGATGATGATGATGATCATGATGATGATGATGATAATGATGATGATGACGATGACGATGACGATGTTGATGTTGATGATGCTGATGATGCTGATGCTGATGCTGATGATGATGATGAGGTTGATGATGAGGTTGATGATGATTATCATGATGTTGATGATAATGATGATGATGTTGATGCTGATGATGATGATGATGATGGTGGTGATGATGATGATTATGATGATTGTGTTGATGCGATGACGATGATGATAATGATGATGATGATGATGATGGTGATGATGATGATGATGATGCTGATGCTGATGCTGATGCTGATGCTGATGCTGATGCTGATGCTGATGATGATGATGATGATGATGATGATGCTGATGCTGATGCTGATGCTGATGATGATGATGATGATGATGATGATGATGATGGTGATGATGATGATGATGATGATGATGATGATGATGATGATGCTGATGCTGATGCTGATGATGATGGTGATGGTGGTGGTGATGGTGATGGTGATGATGATGATGATGACGACGACGACGACGCCGACGACGACGATGACGACTTCCCGCCGCTCACTGCAGCGCTGCATCACCACTCCCACGAGAAGAGTAGACCCCTCACGAGGGTTCTCAGCAGCAGCACCTGACACCGACGGGGGGGGGGCATCCGGGGGGGGGCGCGGGGGGGGGTGATCCCTCCAGCATTAGAGGGGTGGGGGTGGGGCAGGCCCTGGACCACGTGTGCCTCCCTGGCCACCGCAGGGGGGGCGATCCCTCCAGCATCAGAGGTGGGGGGGGCAGGCCCTGGACCACGTGTGCCTCCCTGGCCACCGCCAGGGGGCCCAGGGGGGGAGGCGCACACGGCGCACCTAGGGGCCCAGGGTGCGCCCGGCCAGCGGGCGGTCGGCCTGTGCGCGCAGACCTCGTCGCCCCTGCGGGAGCAGGCAGCGGAGCGGAGCGGAGCGGAGCGGAGCGGAGCGGAGAGGGAGGAGGAGGAGGAGGAGGAGGAGGAGGAGACGGAGACGGAGGAGGAGGAGGAGGAGGAGGAAGAGGCGGAGGAGGAGGAGGAGGAGGAGACGGAGACGGAGGAGGAGGAGACGGAGGAGGAGGAGACGGAGGAGGAGGAGGAGGAGGAGGAGGAGGCGGAGGAGGAGGAGGAGGAGGAGGAGAGGATGGTATCGGCGCGAGCGGCGGCGGTGGCTCGGGAGCCTTGTAGGCGGCGATCTCGGAGTGGCTGCGGGGGTCGGCGGCGAACCTCACCGTCCGGGAGGGGGGCCCGCTGGACTGGGACGAGGCAGCGCCCGCCCTCCTCGCTGTCTCGCTTCCCTTGGGGCACCCTCGCGTCCTGAGCCCAAGAGTCACGGCAGAAGGTTTTGGGCGAGTTCTCTCGGCCCCTACGGGCCCTTGCCGGGCCCCAGAGCCGTCAAAAAAGGATCTGGCGGGTGGTAATGGGGGGTGGCCCAGACGGGGGGTGAAGATAAGGGCCGCAAAGGGGCCCTTTAGGGCTTCTTTTGGGCACCAACTGGTTCCAAGAGGGGCCCTAAAGGGCCCCTTGAGGGCCCTTCTCTTCACCCCCCATCTGGGCCACCCCCACTCAGCACCCTCCCGAGAGGATGCTCGGGATGAGAACCCGTCCCCGGGAAGGGGTCGAGACCTCCCTGGTCGCCACGGAGGACAGGGGTCTCGGGGGAAACGGGTCCTGACCCCCCCCCGCTTTTCCCAGGGCCAGCACCTCGACCTGAGTGATTCGTTGTTCGATTTATGTCGGGCGTGTGTCCCCCTACAGGGGGATTTCCGACGAAAAGTAAAAAAGATACCCCAACAATGCCCCCAAAAGCTCAAAACATATTCAAACAATAGTCCCCATATCATTTTTGGACTACGTTTGGACTATGTTTGGGGCATGCCCGTAGGGGACTATGTTTGGACTATGTTTGGACTATTTTTGGACTATGTTTGGACTATGTTTGGACTATTTTTCGTCGAAAATCCCCCGTAGGGGGACGCGCCCGACTCGATGTCTGATGGTCCCCGGGCCCGCGGAGGGCTCCTCCGGGGCCCGGCTCCTCCGGGGCCCCCGTTCGCTTCCCGCCGGGTCGGGGGCTGCACGTGGCGAGGAGGTCGCGACGTCGGACGTCTGGCTTCTCGTCTCCCCTCCTCCTCCTCCACCTCCTCCTCCTCCTCCACCTCCTCCTCCTCCTCCTCCTCCTCCTCCTCCTCCTCCTCCTCCCCCGTCCCCTCCTCCCCCCGACCCCTCCTCCCCCCCAGGGCCTGTCTGGCTTCTCGTCTCCCCAGCCTTACGTCGGGCGTGTCCCCCTGCAGGGAGATGTTTGACGACACATAACATATACACCCACAAATACCCCCAAAAGGCAACAAATACTCAAAAAATAGTCCCCAGACTATTTTTTGAGTATTTGTCCCCCTACGGGGGGATTTTTCCACGAAAAATAGAAAATACTCCCAAACATAGTCCAAAACTGCTCCAAAAAACATCCGGGGACTATGTTTGGGGTATGTGGTGGACCTTTTTTGGGGGTATGTTTGGGGCATTTGTTATTTTTCGTCGAAGCTCCCCCTGTAGGGGGACGCCCGACATCAGTGTGGCTTCTCGTCTCCCCAGCCACCTCCGCCACCTCGAGGCCGACCCAGATCCAAACGTTTGATCTCCCGTGCATGCAGCATGTGTGTACACCATCGTGCCTGCCTGTCAGTCGGCGCTCCATGGATCCGAGGGTGTCGGTTCGGTTCACCTCGAGGCCACCATGACCGTTCTCCCTCTTTCGAGGAGGAGGAGGAGGAGGAGGCCTCGTCCCAGCTCCTCTCCCTCGCTGCCTCGGTCCGCCCTCCGCCCCGCCTCGCCTTCTCGTTCCCCCTTGTCTTGCTCTCGCCCTTCACACCTCGCATCCACGCCTCATCCTCTCCACCCTCCCCTCGGCGTCTCCTCGGCGTCTCCTCCCCGTACTGTGCTCTCCCTTCTTTGCCATGCCCAGTCGTTTCCTCCTCTTCCTTCGTTCCCTTTCGGCTCCTTCTCTCCTGCTCCTGATGTCTCTCGCACAGTGCTCCCCTTGCGCCGCACATCCTGATTGCAAGACCTGGATGGGGCATCCCCTGCGTTGCCGCCACGTCGTTCCAGCATCCCCATTCGCGGCGTTGCCGAGCATTTCAGGATTGCGCCAGTTCCGCCAGTGGGCAAGGACTTGATCCCAGCATCCTGTACAGTCTGCCCGATTGCAGGAATCCCGTCGTCGTCCATTCTGTTGCCCCCCCTTCGTGAGGCAGGCGAGCTCGAGTGCTGGGCCTCAGAGGGAATGAGGCCACCATTTGGTACAACCCATCGACGCCGTCAGTTCATTAGTCGCCCCCTCCCACGTCTCTTTGTAGTAAGGCCAGTTGTGTAGGGTACGCCCAGCTAGTGCGACCGATCGGCGTCGGGAATGCACTTGCCACCCTTTTGAAGGCTTGGGTGATCCTCTCGGCATTCGGTCGCCCTGATGACCCAACGTGCCTATCACCGAGGTAGCACACGACGGTTAAGCTAATGTATTACCGATCGGACACCCTTCGGGTGATAAGGATGTTTTTGGGGGGGAAGGCTGAGGCGATCGATTTGCACGATGGTTCTGGGTTCTTGGTGGTGGTGGTGGCGATGGAAGTGGTGGTGGTGGTGGGCGGTGATGCTATCTATATACTGTATACTTCTCTCTCTCTCTCTCTCTCTAGCTATCTAAATATCTCTCTATATACATATACATATATCTATACCTCAGCCTCTACGTATATATATATATATA